TTTATAAATCAATTAATTTAATTATAATATGTTTCCTTTACATATTAATCATATCATATATAAAATAAAAATGCAAATCTAGAATATTAATATGAAACTCTTTATTTAATAAAACTTGGGTTTTCAAATATTTATTTTTCTTTATTTTTCATATTTAAATTAATTTATTTAATTTAAAGGAATCCAAAAAATGAAACATTGGAATTATTCATTTCTTAAAAAAATATACAAATTAAAATTCCATAATGTATTATTAAGTTTATCCTGCATTCAAAGTTATTTTTGTTATTCTTTTTAAGTTAAGTTATATATAATCATATAAAGTTTTAATAATCTGCATATCATTTCTAACTTGTTATTTAAATATACTAGAATTCAAGAAATGATATAATAAGAATTGAATTCAGTTATGCTAGATATAATATAATTATGATATCAATTATATAATTGAAATCACTTTAATTGTTTGATAAAGAAATCAATTTTTATATTTTTTCATTTGAACATAATATTGAATAGATAAAATTTTTTAAATTATCCAAGTTTTTGAAAATCAGGCTTGGACATATTGAAGTTCTTGAATCACTAATTTGGGGAATGATTTCAAATAGGCTAAAAGATGGGAATTTTGAATTATGTGGGTTAATGATGAAAATAAGAAAGAATTGTGAATTTGAACCGATGATAATGGCTGCAAATTATTTTTCACGTACTATATTACGTTAAATGTATTTAAGTATTAGCAATTAAATTAAAATAAGAATGAACGTAGTTAACTGGACAAATAATAACAATGAATCGTAATCAAAGTCAATTAGGTAATCCTCTGAGACACTGCCTGTTATAAAAAAAAGAATTTCAAAAAGACTGTAAAAACACATATAAGATACTTCTTTCAAAGAATTGTATAAATAATAGAAGCTTGCTGAAATTGTTTAAAAGGCTATGGAGAGAAATGAATGTCAATACGAGGAATATGATGAGATAAAGATTTGTGGTGAGATAATTAAACTCAATGACAAAGTGATTATCAAAAATGAAGATAGCAATGTTGAGGATTATATTGGAGCAATAAATAAAATTTGCTCAGTCGTAGAGCTTAGTACACTAAAATTAATATGTCTCTGTGAAGTGTAATGGTTTATGAGAAAGAATGAAATAATTTGTCATAAACCAAGAGCACGAAGTTGGATTGGCAATTAAGAAATCTTCTCTACTAATACCAACGATTATGTATTAGCATAAACAATCGTTCAAAAATGTACAGTTGTTGATTGTGAGGAATACTTCAATATGGAAAATTGTGATTCTACTACTTATTATAATCGATTGGAATGGGATGTGGAAAGCAAGAAATTTACTAATATGAATACAATTAAGTTATATTGTTTATGCTAGCAGCCTTGGAATCCAGAGTTAAACTATATTTAAGTAATATTTTATTATTATAATTAGTGTGATAAATGTTAAAAATGGTACCATTTTGAATGTGTGGGTTTAAAAGAGGGATCATATGAAAACAAGGAATATGCATGTGGGTATTGCAATTGAAAAAATGATTTTGAATTAATGTCTTTTACTTACTATTCATTTTAGAGATTATTAATTAAGTTTTATTTATCGAATAATAGTCTTTTCAAAAAATTGATGAAAATTAACTAACCCAAATTTAAAATGAGAAAGCCAATCGGACTCACACTAGATTTCTTGGACATACAATAATCATAAAAAGAGTAGACACCAAAAGTATTTAATTCAAAATTAATCAGGTACAATAGATCGACACATTTGAAGAATTTTGCAGCTAAATACCAGAGAATCAATAATAATAAGAATTAAACTTCTCTAAATAATCTTAATCCTTCCATTCTTAATAAATCAAATCCAACAATTAAGAAGAATCAATCTGTTCTGAATTTAAGCAATCAATAATAAGTATTAATTTAATATAAATATCATATATCTAGATTAGGAAAAGGAGAATTCATAAATACAATATATTGTTTTTGAAGAATTTCATCCCCAAAGCACCATTATATCAGGCCAATCTGAATCTATAAGAAATTCAGAAAAACAATTATAAGAGAAAAACACTGATCTTATAAAGGAACCTCCTGCACCATCAAATAAAAACAATACCAAATTCAGTTTCCCTTAGAAAGGAACTGGATTCACTGGATGTATTTATGCTCTAAAATCTAGTAAAAAAATAACTTCAAATTGCGATTCCTGAGGCGGATCACACAAACACTAGTTCTTATGAGTAAACTATGATCAAACAATAACTAAAATAAAATTAAATGAATAATGCTGCAGATATGGAATTAAAATAATAGATATTTACACTCTAGAGAGATAAAGAATAAATTAAAAATTAATACAAATTAGAGATTATTGATCTAAATGCCAAAATACAGGAACTTTAATAAAAGTTAGATATTGAATAAGCAAATACATTGCAATTAAAATAAGAAAATGAAAAATTATAACTGAAAATCTAATAAATAGAACATTAATACTCTATTAATATTGATAAGAACTAGAGTGATTAGTTTAGCATAAGTTATTAAAATAAATTATCTGATAATGAAAAAATCTAATATCTTGTTGAAAAACTAAATCAAAAATCAGCTATAAATGCAAAATTACAATATGAAATTTTCAAATTGCAAAATAATGTAAAATATATTAATAAATAGATTGAACTATTATAAACGAAATAGATTGTACAATCATATAATATTAATTAAATATCAGACTATGAATAAATATCAGACAGTCACTCTCCTCCTTAATTTGCATCAAATCCTCCATTGAACAATTACAAAAATAGAGAAAGCAATAAAGCTAGTGTATTGATGCAATAAAAATAAGCATTACTCAATTTAAGCGCCAATTAGGCTTAATTAGATTAAAAAAAATAGATAAATTTGTATCTCATCTAATTTGAATTATAGATCCAACATGATATCCCCATAAGCAAAAACTTGCAAAGCTTCTACAACAATTCATAAAAATCTAACAACTCATTAGACAAAAAATACTTAATTCAAAGAAGATACTCTTCAACATCTTAGAAAAATGCAGTAAAAATTAATCATTTATATAGAAGTACAAAAAATTCAACTTCGGTTGGAGAATTAAATACTTTTAAACAAGATTTAACTAATTGTTCAAATATTTTACAAAAAATTATGAGGAAGGATTCAACTCAATCTCCTGATAAACCTATTCAAGCAACTCAGAAATTCAAGGAAGCTCTCAATTCTAAGCTTTAAAATGTTCCAGATAAGCATAAGTCATATGCTAGTTTATTATTCTCTTTAGGAGATTTTAACAAACCTAGAATTCAAGATGCTTATATTCGTTAGAATTCACCACATATTAATGAAGATATTCAATTCAAATCGAGACAGTAGATTTATAATATAAAATAGAATATTTGCTTATTAACCTCATTAAAATTCTAGAAAACAGTCTGAAACCATAAAATCAGAGGAATCACATAAAATGAGTACTGAACAACCAAAGTATTATGACAAATATGAATACTCAAATTATTAAAGGAAAGGTAAATATTAATACACATTAGATATTCTACAACTGATGAGAGATATTAAAAGTCAAAAACTTGGAAGTAAGAATTTTATAAATTATATTTAGTATCTGCCAAAATTAATTATAAAAAGAATCATCCAAAGTATGAAAAGCAGTATAATCTATGTTAGTATAAGGGGACTTATTTCTGAAGGTTTAAGTGCTAGATCAAATAATTGTGATTGATAAATTTATATATATATATTATTGTATAAAAACCATTTCTTAAGTTAATAATTTGAATATCTTAAACATTAAGAACACTTGATTTGAAATAGCCCCATTTCCTATTTGTAATAATTTGATCAAATATATTTTTATATATTATGATTCGTCCCTATTTATATTATGCATTCAAAATTAAGGATGGATTATATATTGGCAATAAAAGAGCTGCAAATGTATTCAACTTCATTATTATATAGGACATCTAGTTTCAGTTTTATAATAAAATTACAGTGATAATTAATTGTGCTGCATTAGAAATGAATATAAGCAATTTGAAAGTTAAGATTATTAATTTTGAATGGTTAGATACTGAGGAATAGGTTATATTTAATTTTAAGTAATATTTAGTAAATAGTAGTTAATAATAATGTCGATTTAGTTTATAATGCTATTGAAGAAACAAATGAAAGAGGAGAATCCGTTTTAATTTGTTGCTTAACTGGGTAGAGTAGATCCGTGGCTATTGTTGCTGCTTATTTTATGAAAAAGTAAGAGATCAAATTAAATTCTTAGATTTAACTGGAATTTAAAAACTTCTTTATAATATTTATAAATCTGCAGAAAAGATTTCGAAATTCGTGAAGGTTTACTTTTCTAGTTAAGTCGTTATGAAAGAGAACTATTAATTAAATTAAAAACAGATTTAACAGAATAAAATCAATAAGTTTAAGAATAGGAAACATTGTTAAAAAATACTTATTTCAATGCAAAATTATCTGAGATTTGGTAGAATTATAATATGTCAGAAAAGACAAGTGGATTTATAAAAGGGAAACACAAGAAACATTTAAAAAGGGTTTGTTGGGCATAAAAACTGATAACATTCATTAATAACAATCTAGATTCTGTCAAATTAAATATATTTCTTAATTAAAAAAATGATTATGCAGATACAATCACATAACAATAATCATAATTTATTATATAGAGAGGAAATAATGAAAAGAAATCAAGCAAATATATGATTACTTTAAGAAAGAAAACTCCTGATCCTATTCCAAATAAGTCTATTTCAATTGAAAGTAAATATAGATATGCTTCGGTTGTAAGGTAAATTGAATCTGATGCAAAATAATTTTTATCAAACCGCAAAAGCCTTACAAAAGGAGAAAAGTAAATAAGAGTGTTGAAAGGTATGATGCAATTTAGAATGAAATGAATAAATAAAATCTTATATGAATTATTTTTTGTTATTAATTGTAGTGACATATTAATAAAAATGTCAATGGGCGGATGAAGATAATAACATATACGATTATACTAATTTAGATCATCCCCAGGCATGGCATGTAGTTGATACTCAAAATGGTATTCATAATATTACAATTAGGAATGGGAATGTTTAATATGGTTTACATTTTCAATTTCTGTAATATCAACCTCAGTTGTCATGGAATTCCAGTTGCTGTATATGAAGGCTTAGAAGTTATGGGAACAATCACAGATAATTGTGACATTGTAGGATTGAAATCAACCACTTCAATTTCTCATATATAAGATAAGCCCAAAGATTATGGAATCTCTATTTCTTTCAATGATAATTCTTAATGTGTGGAAACTGCTAATCAAAATAGGGCAGTTTAAACAGACAAGCCAAGAACAGCAATTTTTAATATTGTTTGTAGTGAAAGAGCAGAAAAATAATTTAGAATTATTTAAGGATATGGATGCATAGTAACTTTAGAAATTTATCATCCAACAGGATGCCCAGTAAATAGAGGTATGCTTTTCTTGATTAATTAAGGTATTTATAGTTACATCAAAATATCAATTAAGTATCTTTTAATAGTTACCATAATATATGAAGTTGTGGGATTTATGTATAATAAAAAAATAAAGAAAATTCAAGGTAAATAAGCAATACCAAATATCAATTAAATTGAGGAAATTAACAAATTAGTTATTAAAGCTTTTAAAAGATTTATTGGAAGGAGTAATAAAAATGGATACTAAATAGTATGAATGTGAATATTATTTATTCAAATATTAAAAAATCAATACTCATTTGCTTTAATATTTTGATGAATTTCTTAAGGTTATTTTTTACTTGAAACATCAGTTTATTTTTTACAGTCCGGTGAACATAGGAAAGTGAGGGTATCAAGAATTTGTGTTGTTAATATAGCTTATTTATTAATTAAAAGTAAGAAATTTTAGTTATATTAAATGTGTTTAGTTTATTCAATAATTTTTATAGATGTTTCTCTTATGATTTTCATTATGATGCAATAAATTCAATTAAAAAAATCTGTTTGATTTTTTAAATTCAAGTACTTGAAAGCTGAATATTAAATATTTGTTACTGTTATAGCAAAATTTTTAAAGTCATTAGGCAATAATAAAGCCAATATCAAATCTAAATTATCATAATCAACAGTTTTTAGAATTATGAAAAATGTGATGTCTCTGAATTGAAAAAAGCAATACGTTATAATTACTTTATTGCGAAATCATTTAAGTAGGGAATATTTTATTTTATAAAATGATGAAGTTTAATTGTGGTAAAAATTTCTAGATTTGCATCAAAGATAAATAAATTAATTATATTTTTCAATGCTATTGTATTTATTTTGAGTATATGATTGAAAAAATATCAATAAAAATATTGATTGAAATTTTTCACAATTTATATTTTGTGTCTTTTTATTCTTTCAATTTCAAAATTTAATATATTAAAAAATTATTTAAAATATGCAATCCTCAATTTAATTTTTTACAATATCTCAGAAATTTAATGTTATTATTGATAAAAACTAAACTAAACAAAAAAAAAAAAAGTCAAAATATATTTTAGAGTTTTATTTGTCGTTTTTAAATTTATTAAATCTTTTGTAATTGTTAATTATGTTTTATATCAAATATCAAATTATTAAACTTACAAAATTATTACTTCCTCTAATACTTAACTTTGTATTAATTAAGTTATTTTGCAGCTAGAATCATTTACATACAATACTAATTATTGATTAGTCACCATAGTTTAAGTAAATCTAACAGTGTATATAAGAGTATTAATAGCACCATAACAGTTATGAGTAAAACTATGATATCTTTTATTTGCGCAGGAGTTACATTTATTGAATTAACTTAAATATTTTTTACTTTTAAAACATTTAGCATGTATTTAAATATTTGTTACCAATTAAGAGGTTGTCAACTTAAGTGAGTACTAACCCACAACTTTATAAAACTATTATAGCTCGGGTAAAGAAATTTATATATTTGGTCTGAACTCGGCTTGTAGATCCTTTATTTAGGTTATTCTAAGAGTAGTGCATTATGCAGGTTCGGGTTATTTAATAATCCAAATCATTAAATGAATATTATTCACGTAATAACTATTACTTGGAGAATCGGATGCATAAAATATATTTGTTGATGTTTTAGTTTGTGTATGTTTGATATTTATGTTCTATGTATCAGGGATATGCCAAAAACCTTAAAACGGTGTAATGAAATAGGAGTTTGGCTAAATTTCATAAAGAGGACTAATAAAAGGAGAAGAAGCACTAATAACACCCAATTATTTTATCATTCCAACCGGACCCATAATAATTTGAAATCCTAAAGTCCTTAAGTTAGCTATATTAGTGGTTTCGACTGTAACATGAGTTGAATTCAGTTGTATGACCTTCAATAATTAGAATTAATACTTAGATCTAAAAGTTCACTTCGCCGGTATATCCAAATATAAAAAGACTTACAAAAGCAGCATTTACATGTGGGTTTGAGTGGGGATATGTTAGGTAACGAGAAGGATTTGTATTAAAGGCGTTAATTACAAACAATTCTTCACTATCTATTGCTATCCATCTGAATCCAAAGGTATATAAGGTTGGACCACTACAAGACATCCCTAAAGTAAACTCTAGTTTTTATAACCTACAAATTACTTTAATTATCAAGGGCTACTAAATTAAAATTAACTCCAAGATTATTAGGTGTAGATTCATACTGCTCCATAGTTAAAATCAATTTTGGAACGTTATCGAATGTTGAAGCAAAATAATATGAGCGTGCTCTGTAATATCCCCAACAAATTAAGTTATCTGCCTAACTCCATAAAACATAGTTAGAGTCACTGTAAAATGTGGCTTTTGTAGTAAAAAATACTATAAACATTAGTATCATGAATTTTTATATTTTTTAATTTAATTTAATCTTTAATTATCCTGAATTCTATCTATGATGACTTTAGCAAGTAAATTGAATATCTCGATAAAAGAAAAGTATATAATCAAAACTTCTTAATTATAATAATTAAGAAAAAATCAATATAATATTATAGTTAGGATATTTTAAATTACCAAATCAATGTGTTACCTTTTTTTTCTTAGAAATTGATTTCTGATTAAATTATATATCGAGAGTTAAATTCAACTCATACTATTTGTTAGTAACTTTTTATGAACTTGTTCTTGTTAAAATTAATCTTGATTTCAGATATCTACATTTAATTGAAACCATTTTGAAAAAAAAGGAAATATATGAATCAAAAAATCATTAAAATACTTAGTTTAAATTAATATAAAGAATATATCCTGATATGAATTAAAAAGCCTAAAAAGTATAATTTTATACTTCAATGCTATTTAATCAAAAAAATTGAGTTTTTTAGTTTCATTCAACTAATGCAAAAAAACTATTAGCTTAAAATCAATCAATTTAGAAGAGTTAAATCACAAACAGTAAAGATGAAAGATTTTTTGCTTAATTTATTAAAAAAAAATAATTGTAAGATAATTTGCAATTATTATTCTTCTAATTAATTGAACTTTTCTTGGTTATATAAAAAAATCTCTGATTAACAAATGTCCAATATTCCTAATATCTAAATTGCATCAAATAAAAATTCAAAAAGTATAAATGCCATAGATTCTTTTCACTACTTTTAGTTTAAAAAAGTTCCATTTATAAAACTATTTTATATTGAGCATTTCTTAATTCTGTAGAAATTGAAATAAATTATTAATTAATAAAAATAAATATTATTAATTTTTATTTATATTATATAGAATAATTGCCAGAATAAAACAGGAATTTTTAGCATTACTTTAGGTAAGCATTGTTATTAATTTTGGATGGCAGCTGAGATAAATATTCAAGATTTTACTAGGATGAGGAAAGAAGTCAATTTAAATTGAAATAGTCAAAGTGGAGCATTTCTGTAATTTAAAAAGTATTTATTTTATATAAACAAAATTGAAAACGACTACTTTTTAGGAACTCATATTAGTGAATATTTCTAAATTTCTTTTCAAATTCTTTGTGATGGAACTAAATGTTCTTACTTAACAATCAAAGGATAAGGTCAAAGAAAGTATTAAATTTTTGATAGGATTCAGCTAACACAATTTACGACAATCAAAATTAACGATATCTATAAGGAATAAGTATCACTATAATCAGTTTATGATTTTGCCAAACATTCACACAAGAATGGAATTAGGGTTATTCAAATTAGTTCAATTTTTCGAATTTCTTCAGGATGACTCCTGCTTGATTACAAAAATAAAAATTCTTTAAAGTATCCTTCTGATATAAGGACGTTATTAAATTTAATGGTTACATTTCCCTGAAAAGATAATAAGAAAAATTGGAGAAAAATGAAAAATTATTTTATAGAATTTTTTTTTCCCTTAACCATTATAAAACTAAATACCTACCTAATATGGTATATCTTTATAAATTTAAGTATGGATTATTTGTAACTAAATTTGTGTTGGTCTTAGATCTATTATTTCAGTTGATTCAAAGAATATTCGAGGTTACTTTTAAAAAGAAACAATTTTTAATTTACTAAAGGTTCCTAATTATTTTGACAGTTAATAAGGATATTAATTTTAATTTCAATACGAATAAANTATAATCAAAACTTCTTAATTATAATAATTAAGAAAAAATCAATATAATATTATAGTTAGGATATTTTAAATTACCAAATCAATGTGTTACCTTTTTTTTCTTAGAAATTGATTTCTGATTAAATTATATATCGAGAGTTAAATTCAACTCATACTATTTGTTAGTAACTTTTTATGAACTTGTTCTTGTTAAAATTAATCTTGATTTCAGATATCTACATTTAATTGAAACCATTTTGAAAAAAAAGGAAATATATGAATCAAAAAATCATTAAAATACTTAGTTTAAATTAATATAAAGAATATATCCTGATATGAATTAAAAAGCCTAAAAAGTATAATTTTATACTTCAATGCTATTTAATCAAAAAAATTGAGTTTTTTAGTTTCATTCAACTAATGCAAAAAAACTATTAGCTTAAAATCAATCAATTTAGAAGAGTTAAATCACAAACAGTAAAGATGAAAGATTTTTTGCTTAATTTATTAAAAAAAAATAATTGTAAGATAATTTGCAATTATTATTCTTCTAATTAATTGAACTTTTCTTGGTTATATAAAAAAATCTCTGATTAACAAATGTCCAATATTCCTAATATCTAAATTGCATCAAATAAAAATTCAAAAAGTATAAATGCCATAGATTCTTTTCACTACTTTTAGTTTAAAAAAGTTCCATTTATAAAACTATTTTATATTGAGCATTTCTTAATTCTGTAGAAATTGAAATAAATTATTAATTAATAAAAATAAATATTATTAATTTTTATTTATATTATATAGAATAATTGCCAGAATAAAACAGGAATTTTTAGCATTACTTTAGGTAAGCATTGTTATTAATTTTGGATGGCAGCTGAGATAAATATTCAAGATTTTACTAGGATGAGGAAAGAAGTCAATTTAAATTGAAATAGTCAAAGTGGAGCATTTCTGTAATTTAAAAAGTATTTATTTTATATAAACAAAATTGAAAACGACTACTTTTTAGGAACTCATATTAGTGAATATTTCTAAATTTCTTTTCAAATTCTTTGTGATGGAACTAAATGTTCTTACTTAACAATCAAAGGATAAGGTCAAAGAAAGTATTAAATTTTTGATAGGATTCAGCTAACACAATTTACGACAATCAAAATTAACGATATCTATAAGGAATAAGTATCACTATAATCAGTTTATGATTTTGCCAAACATTCACACAAGAATGGAATTAGGGTTATTCAAATTAGTTCAATTTTTCGAATTTCTTCAGGATGACTCCTGCTTGATTACAAAAATAAAAATTCTTTAAAGTATCCTTCTGATATAAGGACGTTATTAAATTTAATGGTTACATTTCCCTGAAAAGATAATAAGAAAAATTGGAGAAAAATGAAAAATTATTTTATAGAATTTTTTTTTCCCTTAACCATTATAAAACTAAATACCTACCTAATATGGTATATCTTTATAAATTTAAGTATGGATTATTTGTAACTAAATTTGTGTTGGTCTTAGATCTATTATTTCAGTTGATTCAAAGAATATTCGAGGTTACTTTTAAAAAGAAACAATTTTTAATTTACTAAAGGTTCCTAATTATTTTGACAGTTAATAAGGATATTAATTTTAATTTCAATACGAATAAAGGACTTTGGTAACACAGAAGAAATATTAGCAATTGGATGTTGCTTCCTAACCATTGCGAGATGTATTTAATGCCTTTAAAAAATATGTTCATGGTAGTAGAACAATTTTTGGATTGGGTATAAAAATTAAATTTTTAAAGCTCATATTGAGAAGTCAATTTACATTTTTATGCTATAACTGTCTAAATTAAATAGGATTTTACCTGATTAGCACTTAACTTAATTATAAAATTCTTATATCAAACAATATTAAGGTTAGATTCCACTATTGTTTACAAATTTCAAGGAAAATGAGATACTTAGTTTGACCAAAACTTAATAAACTGCCTATCAAGAAAATTTTAAGATATATTTTTCTTCTAATCATGTCAAGAATTAATTTTGATAATCGTTTGACAACAGAACCTCAGCTCTCTAGGTCAACTATGGTATAATTTAGATAGACTTCCATTAAAAATGATAATTGAAGAAGAAATTAATGTGCTGTAAAATTATACTTGCTGAAGTTAAAGAGTAATCAATATTTTGTGAAGTTTTGATTTTTACCCATATCAAATTACAAAAATGAATGTCTACCAATTTAACTTTACCTTGATATATGTATAAAGAAGCTTAAAATAATTTAATTCTATTAGCAAAGGACTTTTGGTCATGTTGATGACCATATTATTATGGATTTACAAGAAAGGGAAAAAATGGAATAAATCGTATTTATTAGGCAAGACTGTAATGAAAAACGTGCTTGAATTGAATAAAAGAACTAAAAGTTAATTTTTCTAAATTTTGTGATTAAAAAAAATTATTATTTATAAGTTTGGAAATTTATTTGGCAGATTCAGTTAATGAATTTAAGTGTATCCGTCTATGGGATGTCAAAACAGGATAATAAAAAGCCAAATTAGATGGTCATAGTGATTATGTTAGATCAGTCTGTTTCTCTCCTGATAGAAATACATTAGCTTCTGGTTGTGATGATAAGTCTTTTCGCCTATGCGATATCTAAAACAAGTATTGTTCAGATAATATATTTAAAGAAATTTAGGTTAAAAATACAAGATATCCTTTTTTTAGCACCCCTTTGCAGTAAAAGAATATTATTTAAAATTTAGATACATTTAATATTATGGTTTACCGGACTTCAAAAAAGAGTTTTTTATAAAAAACCGTTTCCTTTTTAGGAGAATTATTGGAGTAACACTTGATTAATTTAAAAACTAACAATATGTTAAAATGTGTTAAATTAATTTCCATTTTAGTAATGCTTCAAGATTGTTAAAAAAGAAAAAAACTATAAAATAGAACTCTATCAACGAATATTGGACACAAGAAGTATATTAAAATAGATTTAAATTAAGGGTTAATATAGGTAAATCTTTCAGCATTTATCATTTCTAAGTTTTCTAATCTTCGTATTTCTTGAGAGTTGATATATTCTAATATTCCTATTATTTTTTATTAAATTGATTTTATAAACTTTAAATTTTAACAATGTTATTGAAAAAATTGTTATTAGTAAAATACTTATTTTGGAAATTTAAAAAAAAATACCCAAACATTTAAGTGTGGCTAATATGAATGCTTTTTTATATATTTAAATAATTTATCGTCCAAGGAGGTTGTTATAGAGAAGATAAATTTTATTAAGATTATCCATTATTTCCTTTTTAATTCTACAATTTAGGTGCAATTTCTGAATTTAATTGTAAAATATAACCAGTTGATGAGTTTCTAAAGACTTATAGTATATTATTTTTGAATAGATATTGATTAATTTTGTAAAAATCATAACAGTGATTATACATTGAGTAATAACTGTTTATTATTTGATGTATGTAAAATTTCA